CAGATATATATACATTTACAATAATATTTATTTTATTCCATTACGATGGGGGTAGCGAAGCACACTGGGTATAGCTAGTTGAAAATAAAGTATTAATTTTTAAAGTAATTTTCCATGCCGTAATATTTTATGCAGCGCCTATGTGGGCAAAGAGCGCATCTTGTCACATTGGGAAACTACAGATTGCTCAAAACAAATTATTAAAACTAACTACATTCAATTGCGAATATTGAACTTGTTGCATTAAAGTTATACAGGTTGACATCTAATTTTTCTTCTAGACTAGATGTACCCAGTGTGCTTTGCTACCCTAAAAGCAATATAAATAAAAAAACACTTACACATGGGAGGTGACACGCAAATTATTGCAAGTTCGCCAATTTTTCCGAACGCTAATAGGGATTTTAATGTAAGCTATGAAAAATGAGAAAAATTGTACTGGCCAGGATTGCGAAAAATGATAGCAAAACAAATGCCGAAACATCTGTTGCGGGTCGGTGTTGCCAAATGTCGGCGTCGCTGGTACGCTGGACGAATACACCAAACATTTACCTAAATTTCACCTTTACAGGCCAATAATAATCATTATTGGCGGATGGAGTAGCCAATATGTTATTTCCCTCCCAGAGGCCTAAACCTACAACCGTAGCAACCTGTTAATTTTAGTTGCCCCTAACTAAACCTACCCACTCACAATAATTTTACCCCAATCACGTACCTTATACACATAGAATCTCTCCATATTTGTGATTTATATTATCAGATCATTACAGAGCAATCATTTGGAGGAAGGGTAGCGTAGGTTTTCAGTCCGTCCGTTATCTGTCCTCGTTCGGTGTTTCGTTAAGTAAAATATTATAAAAAACTTAAAAAAAACCTTTTAAATAATTTATATTTTACTATATTTTCTCTTTTTTAATTTTTTTATTTCATTTCTGTTTACGTTTTTTTTGTATTCATTAATTTATACCTAAATATATATATATATATATATATATATATATATATATATATATATATATATATATATATATATATATATATATATATATATATATATATATATATATATACTTTAATTTAGTTTTAAGCTTTCAGTTTTAAAAATTCTTTTAATTTTTTCTTTAATAAAAGAAAATGAAAAGTTTTGATTTGTTCTTCTTTTTTTTCTTTTCACGTAGACGATGGCCACGGGCTCCAGCTTCTTCAGTAGACGCAGAAAATAAAAAAGGACCGACATTTTGGTCATTAGAGACCGAGAAACCTCGGTTGCCAATATGGTGCCCTTCCAATAAGTTTTCAGTAACTTAATTTTTTACATTTATTTTTTTCTATAATTGTTTTGTTTTTGTTTATTTTCTTCCTCTTCTTCCTAAAGAAAAATTCCCCTTGCTATTTAGTTGCCACCTGTTTACCCTGCTTCTTCTTTTATTTGGTAGCTTAACTACAGGGTGCACAACGACAAACCGTAATCCATTTATGGATACAGAATGGGGTGGAAAAATTTGCGCCCTGAATTTTATGAACCTCCCTAATTTTAAAAATTTCCTGGGATTTTGGGCATTTTCTTACTCCTTATCAAAAAAAGTTTACTATGGCAACCCTTATTCATTCATGAATAAAAGTGCGACTCTGTGCCGCCGTCAAAACTGTTCGTGCGGCGACGTACTCTGAAAGGGAAAGGGAGGAGAGAGAATGCAAAAACGCATTCATGAATATTTATACCCTACACCACTATAGTGGGGAGGGTATTATACGTTTGTGCTGATGTTTGTAACACACAAAAATATTGGTCCTACACCCACCTTTAAGTATACCGATCGACTCAGAATCACATTTTGAGTCGATTAAGACATGTCCGTCCGTCCGTCTGTCCGGCTGGCTGGCTGTCCATGTAAACCTTGTGCGCAAGGTACAGGCCGCATTTTTCAAGATAATTTGATGAAATTTGGACCAAGCATGTTTTTTGGCATAAGGACGAAGCCTATTGAAAATGGTTGAAATCGGTCCATTATTTCACCTAGCCCTCATACAACCGTACCTCCCGATTTGGGCTTTTTATGCCATAATTACGTCAAATATGCTATTATCTCTCTAAAAATTGGCACAAATAAGTTTTATATAAGTATAAATGACACTGCAGATTTTCGTAATGAAGCACCACCGGATTGTTGGTGCTAATGTGTCGAAGAAGTCCCCCGTTGAGTGGAGCTGGCGATGGCGTGGCTTGGTGTTGGCTTAGTTCAAGTTATATTTTATTTACTTTTATGTTTACTTTACTTTAGTTTTAAAAACTTTAATTTAGTTTTAAGCTTTCAGTTTTAAAAATTCTTTTAATTTTTTCTTTAATAAAAGAAAATGAAAAGTTTTGATTTGTTCTTCTTTTTTTTCTTTTCACGTAGACGATGGCCACGGGCTCCAGCTTCTTCAGTAGACGCAGAAAATAAAAAAGGACTGACATTTTGGTCATTAGAGACCGAGAAACCTCGGTTGCCAATATGATGCCCTTCCAATAAGTTTTCAGTAACTTAATTTTTTACATTTATTTTTTTCTATAATTGTTTTGTTTTTGTTTATTTTCTTCCTCTTCTTCCTAAAGAAAAATTCCCCTTGCTATTTAGTTGCCACCTGTTTACCCTGCTTCTTCTTTTATTTGGTAGCTTAACTACAGGGTGCACAACGACAAACCGTACCATTCTGTAATCCATTTATGGATACAGAATGGGGTGGAAAAATTTGCGCCCTGAATTTTATGAACCTCCCTAATTTTAAAAATTTCCTGGGATTTTGGGCATTTTCTTACTCCTTATCAAAAAAAGTTTACTATGGCAACCCTTATTCATTCATGAATAAAAGTGCGACTCTGTGCCGCCGTCAAAACTGTTCGTGCGGCGACGTACTCTGAAAGGGAAAGGGAGGAGAGAGAATGCAAAAACGCATTCATGAATATTTATACCCTACACCACTATAGTGGGGAGGGTATTATACGTTTGTGCTGATGTTTGTAACACACAAAAATATTGGTCCTACACCCACCTTTAAGTATACCGATCGACTCAGAATCACATTTTGAGTCGATTAAGGCATGTCCGTCCGTCCGTCTGTCCGGCTGGCTGGCTGGCTGTCCATGTAAACCTTGTGCGCAAGGTACAGGCCGCATTTTTCAAGATAATTTGATGAAATTTGGACCAAGCATGTTTTTTGGCATAAGGACGAAGCCTTTTGAAAATGGTTGAAATCGGTCCATTATTTCACCTAGCCCTCATACAACCGTACCTCCCGATTTGGGCTTTTTATGCCATAATTACGTCAAATATGCTATTATCTCTCTAAAAATTGGCACAAATAAGTTTTATATAAGTATAAATGACACTGCAGATTTTCGTAATGATCGGCCCTTATTTGACCCTAGCCCCCATACAAACCCCCCTTCAAAAAATGTCTTAAACGTCTAAAACTGACTTGTAACCATTTGTATCGCAATGAAACTCAACATAATTAACTATTATTTAACAATATATCCTTTTCCCAAATTTAATGAGGATCGGCCCATGTTTGACCTATACTCCTATATAAAGCCTCATTTAGAAAATTTGTTTTTTATCAATAAATTGCTTAAATACTTTGGAATTAAGGTAAAATTCAACATAAAAGTTTCTTTGTGAAAAATTTAAATTTTTAAAATATACTCATGGTGTATTGTATTATATGGTCGGCCATGCCCGACTATACTTTCCTACTTGTTTTCAATGGCGGTGATCAACAATGGTAAGTATTTGTTAATGAAATGTTTATTTTTCAATTTATCTATTTTTATTTAGAAATATTTCTGAAAAATTGTAACAAATTACTAATTTATAATATTTTATATTTTCTTTTCAGAAAAAGACGGAGGATGCTGCAGATTTTGGTGGAATTATGGTAAGTAAAAATTTATTTAATTCATTCAATATGAACAAAATTTTCAATGTATTTTTTTTTTTGTTTGTTTCTTTCAGGAATGTGGCTACAGTTAGCTATTGGGTAGGTGCAAGTGTAATTTCTGGAGTTGGACATGTGCAAGGTAAGTGAAAATTAATTTCTAGTGTAAAATTTAAAATAAAGTGTTAAAAAAAAATAAAAGATTAGGGATTTTTGGAAACTACAGTGCGTGTGAAAAGTGTGTGTAAAAAATTAATGTAAGTGTTTTAATTCAAGTGCAGTGTCATTGTGATAAAAAAATAAAGTTTGGAAAATACAGTGGGTACCAAAAGTGCGCGGACGGAGAATTAAAATAAAAATTAATAAAACGCGAAAAATATTAGTGCCGGTAAGAATTACAAACTAAAAATTATTTTTCCAGAAATTACAGTGCGGGACGCAAGTGAAGTGTAAAACAAAACTAAAGTGCAAAATTAAAAAAATTAAATTTAAATTTTTGTGCAAATAAAAAGTTGACGGTGCCAAACAAAAAATGAAATGGAAATTACTGTGACTAGCAAAAAAAAAAAAAAAAAATAAAATAAAAGGGAATAAAAATTTAAACTGATGCTGAAAACTAAAGTGATAACATTAAGCCGGTAAAAAAAATATAATACAGTGTGTGACAAAAGTGGTGTGACAAAATCAAAAAAATATTCTATGGTGTTAAGTGGACAATTCCTAGTGTGTGGTGAAAAGAAATTTTGCGAATTTGTAAAATAAAACTAATTTTTGAAAAATACAGTGGGGGATAACAGTATCAGTGAAATTTTAGTGACAGTGGAAATAAAAGTTAAAATGTACGAAATTCAATGAAAAATTCTGAAAATATTTACAAAATAAAAAATTCAGTTTTTTTCAATTTTTTTTTTTTATATAAATGTTTTTATATGTTTTTTTTTATAAATTTATTAAATTTATTTTTTAGATTTTTATTTAATTCTTTTTATAATTTTTTTTTGTGATTCCTTTTTTTATAATTTTACTAATTCTATTTTAATTTACTATATTTTCAGACTAAAATTCAAAAGGACCTTATACTTCCAACAGGCCTTAGCTTCCGTTTAGGAGTCGTAAGTTTGAAAAAAAAATTATATTAATAATAATGATACATCCTATTTATTGTAATACAAGGACAAAGTCCACCAAAGCTCATAGAGTAAACACTAGAGACATTGGCGGGAAATACCCCTTGTAATTACATTCAACAAAAAAAAAAAAAAAAACTAAATTACTAATGCTTCTTTTTACAGATTATCCATACAAACTTTGGGAAACTGACATAGAAGACCCGGACATTATGATGACTCAGGTAAGTCTTCTGATAAAAATAGATGAAAATGACAAGGACCAAAACCACCAAAGATTTCAGGCTGAAGCCTTAGATCTTTGGCGAGAAGTGCCCCTTGACATTTTCACTTTAAACAAAAACTAGCTACTAGCTTACATATATAGGATTGTTTGAGCATAAAACTTTCTAAAAGAAACTCTTAACAAACATTTTCTTTTAAACAATTCATAGACACGATTCTTTTAGAAAATTTTATTATGAACTTAAAAAAAAAACAAAAACTAATGTTTCTTTTCCCTACAGGTTCTTTGGAATTCAAGTGCCCTTGGGAAGGACGAACCGAAAGGACTAAAACACCACTGAGATGCCAACATCGGTGAAATCCATGAGAATTGGCAACTATTTATAATGAAATGATTAAAATTATAATTACTTATTTGAACCTATTCTAAAGTCTTTCGTTCTTATTTCAGATTACAACAACAAGATCGTGGGAGGCAAATTGAGACGGTGAAGCAGAAAATCCGAGTGAGTGTAAAGTAAATAAAAATATTTAATTTATATGTATACTAGATATATTAGAATATAAGTCAAGGTAGTCAGACAGCTAGTTTAAATCGGACTTCATAGATTCATTTCCAATATTAGCGCAGAATTCGGTAGTAATAACAAGACAAAGTTTAGAAAATAATGAAACAAGGTCCTAAACTTCTTGTTATTGCCACTGAACTCAAAAGAATTGTGTTTAGCATAGTTACGGTCTATATCCCAACCAAAACTGACGTATATGTACTATCGATCATTTATTTCCCAGCCAGTGACAATCTGCTTACGGAATGAACAACTATCTGTTGGTCTTCCAACTTGTATTGTCCCAATTGTTTACTTTGGTATCGGCTCGCTGTAAGATCGGACTCAGAATTGTGTTATTACCCTAGGTGACTAATAACCCTTACGCATTTGATGGCACGGTACCAGAAGGCTTTGATGGGGTTGCACCTACTAATAGGGTAATGACCGGTTACACATGTAACCAGCTAAGAAACGTTGGCTTTAAGTCGATCCAACAAATAATTACTCATTCCAAAGTAGCTATGGATCTCACTGGACTACGATATAAATGAAATATATGTACAGAACTCAGTACTGCTTAGGATATATCAACAGCTATGCCAAACAGAAATTCCCTGCCAATAAAGAAATGACTATGATTAATATAAAGACTCGACAATACAGATTTAAAGATAGGCACACAATTAGGTACGAATTGGACAACTACTAGACGCTGTCAACCGGTAGATATTCAGGAAGAAATGTTAGGACTAGAACCACCAAAGATATTGAAGCTATTGCTTCAAATCTTTGGCTTGAAAAACCCCTAACGATTTCCCCTGAATATCCTCGACCTTGTAAAAACTGTTTCCGACTGGTCGGACGATTCGCCATTTTAGAAATTTTCGGGCGAATTTAGCATTAAAATTATTCTTAAAATCGCTTTGTTGGAAGTTACGTCAGTAGACTTCCTGACCGGGAACAAATTTAACTTGTCGACACCGCGTATTATAAGATTTTTCGTTACGAGTGTAGGCCTTATGTAGATTTTCGCGAATTTTTCTTCGTATCAGATCCATTCTAGCCGCGTTCGGGATGATATTCATTTCGGGATCGTTTAGCACTTTGAGCTTACGAGCCAACTGATAAACGCTGCCATGGCCAATCATATTCATTCCGAATAAGGCAAAATATGGCGTAACTCCGATGGACGACTGCAAGGAAAACCTTAAGGAAAACTCAATTTCGGACAAATGCTTGTCCCATTCTGTATGGTCTTCCTGCAGATACGACCTTACGGCTGCTAAAACGGACTGATTGGCGCACTCGGACGCATTAGCTTGCGGTGAGTGGGTTGCAGTCCGAACATGTTTGACACCAAAACTACTAATCATGTCGGCAAACTCTTGGCTAACAAATTGTTTTCCGTTATCAGAAACGATAGTTTCTGGTGTTCCAAATTTATGGAAAACCTCAGCAATTAGAAACTTTACAACATTCTTGGTGCTGGCTTTAGGCAAAGCCTTCAAAAAAACAAACTTAGTTAAATGATCTAAAACGATAAAAATATCAATTAAGCTTAGGTAAAGTTCCGACTGAAATGCTTCCGAATTTAAATCTACAAGTTTAGATACGTTTAGTGAGATTTCGTCCATATCATAACGCGATAGGGTATCGGGTACTACATTTTCCTTCCCCTGCCTATGTTCAATTTCGAAATCGTACGCCTGTAAATGTAGACTCCACCTCGCCAACCGACCAGTTAGATCCCGATGTGACATTAGCCATTTAAGACTGCTGTGATCCGTGATCATCGTAAATGGCATCAATTCTATATAGGCCCTAAACTTCTTAATCGCCAAGACAACTGCCAAACATTCACGTTCAGTGACTGAATAATTTTTCTGTGCTGGGGTCAGCTTATGCGAGAAATAGGCTATTGGGTGCTCTCCATCAGAATCATCTTTCTGAAAAAGAACCGCTCCAATGCCTAAGTCTGATGCGTCACACTGAACGTAGAAACGCTTGTAGAAGTCTGGGTGGTTAAGAAGTGGGCTCGTAGTCAGAGCTTTCTTGAGGCGATCAAAAGCAACCTTAGCTTATTCGGTAAACTTGAATTGTTTACCCTTCTTCAGCGTTTCAAAGATTGGGGCCGCAATGGTAGCATAGTCTTGTATAAATTTTCTATACCAGCCTGTTGCTCCCATGAAGCTCCTCACCTGCCTTGCTGTCTTAGGGTATACAAAACGAGTAATCGATTCCACTTTGGTCGGGTCCGGTTTTAATTTGCCCTCACCAACAATATACCCAAGATATTTTAACTCCTTAAAACAAAATTTGGATTTAGCAACATTGATGGTTAAACCTGCATCTGCTAGACAAATAGATACCCGCTTCAACAATTCCAGATGTGTCTCGAATTCTGGAGATACTATCAATAGGTCATCTAAGTACACGAAAACTCTTTCACGAAGTGCCGCGGGAATCACTTTATCCATTAACCGACATAACCTTTGGGCTGCATTACACAACCCAAAAGGCATAGCAGTAAATTGATAAAGTGGTCGTCCAGGTACCGTAAAAACAGTTCTGGTATCTGCCAGAACGCGTCTTTTAAGTCGACACTCGAAATATAGATTGTATCTCCCAATCGACTGAGCAAACCTTCAATGTGCGGCAATGGATATGCATCCTTGACTGTCAGCGCATTGAGCTTACGCGCGTCCAGGCATAACCGATTCTTCTCGCCCCTTCGTACGAGAGTAACCGGATGACTCCATGGACTTTCGCTAAGCTCAATAACACCTAAGTCCAGCATTCTATCCAACTCCGCATACATCAACTTTTGCACCGCCGGGAATACAGGGTAATATCTATCTTTCACTGGAATTGCATCTCGGGTGTCTATTGCATGCGTTTCTAAATGCGTTTTACCAAGGCCCTTCTTTGTATAGCAGGGGAACATCGCAATTACCAAATCCAATCTTTGTCGCTGTTCATCATCCAACTTGTGAGTTTTAATATCTTGGGTCTCTTCTTCATCTTCGCAAAGATTAATTCCAAAGATGTTTAGTTTTCCCTAATTAATTTGTCACTTAAAAAACATTAGGTAGGCATGTTTTATATCAATGGAAGGGTAATTTTATCTATTTTTCAAAACTGTATATAATTTTTGAAAATTAAAAAATTCGCGGAATACTTTTTTTAAAAAAAAATTAAAAAATGTTTTTTATTCAGTTTTTGCGAAGATACAATTTTTTCAAATTGCAATAAAAATTTTATTTATGAATATTTTTTGATGAAATTTTACAGTTAGGTAGATTTTTTTACTCAAAATCCAAAATTAAATAAAAATTTCGAATTTTCTTATTAGAAATCCTGGAATTCCCAAAAAAGTTTTAAAAAATCCCAAAAATGGGATTTTTTGCTTTTTTGCCTATTATATCCATACCAGGGGCGGGGTTATCGAAACCCGTTACAAAATGATTAAGAACATATTGGGTCATATAAAACAGGTCACTATAATTTGATATCGACTATGCGATTTGAGAATTTTTGCTCAAAATTGAATTTTCCATAAAAAATAGGGTTTTTTTGGATGGACCTGGTCCCCTCGGTATCAAAAATTTTTAGGTTTTGTTTCATTTATCGTATTTTATGTAAAGTCAGCTTTCCAAAAAGGATAAATTCTATATAAATCTTCTTAGAAACTTTTTAGATAGCTTAAAAAGAAAAATATACTTTTTCCCCAAAAAAATGACAAAAAATCGCCTTTTTTTAATTTTTTAAATTAAAATGCCTATAACTTTGGACTCAGTCATGATTTTTACATAATTCTTTCACTGCTTGATATATAAACTTGCTGTTAAGCGAATAAAAAAAAAGTGGCGAAAATCGGGAATATTTGGACCCGCTATTATCAAAAAACTAAAGTAAGGACGGTAAAAATTTAAAAATTTTATTTTTCAAATGCGAATATCTCCTAAACTATAAGAGATAATTTACTGCTACGACGACATTTTTTATAGTGCTCGACGAGGAGATTCTATATACGAAATTTTTTTTAAATTGGAACTCAAATGAAGAAATAGGATCGTTTTAAAAATTTAACATAGCCGAGGTGTCCTAATTTGAGGACCCCCCGCCGGGCCCCTGGTTGGTCTATAAGGTCCAAATTCAAAACCTAAACTCGACAACACCTCCTCTTGGTGCATACCAAATTTCATTAAAATCAGATTAACCGTTTAGAAGTTACCGAATTATTTCCCTCTTTTTTTTTCCTATACCACTGTGCGCTGTTGATAACTTTGCCTCTGGTTAGCCAACAAGTTCTCTGCTCTCTTGACCTCGTGACAAAACTCAGTTAGACTATTTATTCGAATGGGAAACATCAACTGGGCCAAAGCTGGCTTAAGGTTACCCCTCATGATATCAATTAACGATCTCTCATCATACGGGACTTTTTGCTGATGGCGTAGCTTAAGTATGACATTATAAAACTCTTCAAATGACTCATGAGGTAACTAGCGGCGATTGAGTATTTGCATTTGTACCTGAAACTCATTCTCAAAACGCTGATATTGTGACAAGATAGCACTTTCCAGGTCCCGCCAAGAGTTAATTTGCGCCAATTTGCGATGGTTCCAATACCAGTCTAAAGCTGGTCCTTCCAGTAAGTTATGGAAATGGCGTAAAATATCCATGTCCGAGCAGTTGTAATCTTTTCTAAGCTCGTTTACTCGAAAGATAAACTCTTGAGCATTCATGGACTTACTGGTACCATCAAACTTTATACCCCACTTAGACAAATTCACTCGCTGATGATTTTCCATCCCATTTGACACTGGTCAAGCATAATTAGGAGCTGGTCCAAAGTTTTGCTGCTGTTGTCGTGGTAGTTGATGGTAGCTATACACTTGTTGTTGTGGGCTGTAACCTTGTTGTTGTTGGTTGTAAGCTTGTTGTTGTTGGGTGTAGGCTTGTTGTTGACCAACCCTCGGGGTATTGATCGGAGTCTGATTCATTGGCTGTTGTTCAAAATATCTGGTGTGGTTAAGATTAGGCTCTGGGAAATCTGTTTGATTCCTCCGCTGTATATCATTAGCCATATAATCTGGTGCTGGAAATAAAGGTGGCGGTGGATTTGACCAAGGCCCCTGAGCTATAGCTGGCTGTGTTTGGGTATACGTGACGGCTGTCACTTCTCTTCCGCCCATATTACCGTGAGGATATGATACTTGCGAGACCACAGGTGCCACTAGACTCCTAGTCACTGGAGATAATGGGTTTGTTTGTGTCACTGCGCCGGTTAAGAATTCCGGACCTCCTCCCTGAGCCTCCTGCAATGGCACAGTCGGATCTAAACTTGCTGGGACATCTTGTTGTTGCTGATGGTTTATACCCAATGCCCGCTTAATTTCCATTAAAGCATCGTTGATTTTATTATCTACCTGCCTCATAAATTGCGCCTGGGAAAGACCGATAGAAGCGTTGACCACTTCCTGTATGTTGGCACTTTGATTCCGCTGGTTGGCCAGACTCTCTCGGACTTCGCGGCGAACGTTTTGAGCTGTAAGGCTACTGTATCCTGGCGACCTAATCGTGGAATTCGAATCGTCTGAACTAATAGAGACCTCGTGAGGCAATACTGTTGCTGTGCTGTTGTCGTGGCTGTTGTGGTAGGCCCACCTGCAGTGAGAGCGTCTGTAGTACGAGTTACACCTGTTTCAGTAGTTGCCATGTTGCTGCTGGTTGGTAAATTACTTGAAATTCTACTACCGGAACGAGTTACAACCACAATCCACCAAAAACTCAACGAAAATTCAAATTATTAGGAAAAACGTGACGAATTGATACCTTTCTTTGAAATACCGCCGAAGATAACAAAAAAAATTTATAACGAAAATTCAAAATAAAAAAAATAAAATATAAAATACCAAATAATAACCAAATCGATTAATAAAAAGAAAAGATTTGCAGTACTAACGGAATTCGCACAAATACCGAACTATCTTCATATATTAACTATTTCAAAATGTATTATAAACTTCTATACATAAGTGATTGGGGTTCTATCATAGCGTGAGTGAGTAGGTTTACAAAACAATTGTCGATTATTCTTGATCTATGTAAAGTTAAGTATAATTTAGTTGTAAACTTTGGTGTTTCCTAACGGCCTTTACAGATTGTAGTACTGCGACTGAAAACTGAAATATTATTTTCTTCCCTTTTTCCAGGACTAGTCCTAAGTCTGTAAGCAAAACTATTTAAACAAAATTTTAATTTTCTTCTCCCTTGAGCAGTTAAATCAGCCACGTAACATAAAACTAATTAAGACTCTGGGATTAGAAATTTTATATGTACTTGGATTTAAGAATGTATCGCTATTATATCTAATCCACCTGAGAATTTAATAGATATAAGACTTATACATCTTAAATACAAGTAGAAAATAACAACTGAAATTTTACTTGGGCTATTGAATTTAATGAAACTTTTTGTTGGCTTTATATATTAGGCGATTAACCATACTTCTGATGTACTAAATGCTTAAGACTCTAACAATAAAGCTAACAAAAAGATATGTTTTTGCCAAGAAGATGTCGCAACGCGTTACGGACTCTTATTTGACGTGAACGGGACTTACACTACTTGTGCAAAAACATAACACTAACAAGTATGGACGTACTCACTTCGGGCCCCACGTTGGGCGCCATTCTGTACTGGCCAGGATTGAGAAAAATGATAGCAAAACAATTGCCGAAACATCTGTTGCGGGTCGGTGTTGCCAAATGTCGGCGGCGCTGGTATTATGGCTTACGCCGGGCTGAGGCTCGCCGGATGGGGTGGTTCTTGCCGACACTGCAACTTTTCCTGGGTACAAAAACTCTATAAAATACCAGCTTTACTTTTAAGTTTAAAAAATAAAAGTATTTAAATTGAAAAGGGACCCGAAGTGAGGAAAACATTTACAAGACGAATACACCAAACATTTACCTAAATTTCTCCTTCACAGGCCAAGAATAATCATTATTGGCGGATGGAGTAGCCAATGTGTTATTTCCCTCCCAGAGGCCTAAACCTACAACCGTAGCAACCTGTTAATTTTAGTTGCCCCTAACTAACCCTACCCACTCACAATAATTTCACCCCAATCACTTACCTTATACACTTAGAATCTCTCCATATTTGTGATGTATATTATCAGATCATTACAGAGCAATCATTTGGAGGAAGGGTAGCGTAGGTTTTCAGTCCGTCCGTTATCTGTCCTCGTTCGGTGTTTCGTTAAGTAAAATATTATAAAAACTTCAAAAAACCTTTTAAATAATTTATATTTTACTATATTTTCTTTTTTTTATTTTTTTAATTCATTTCTGTTTACGTTTTTTTTTTTTTTTTTTTTGTATTCATTAATTTATACCTAAATATATATACATTTGAAGTTTAATCTAACATCTGTTTTTTTAACTCTTTTTTTTCTTTTTATAGAAATTACCTAAAAGGAATTAACCAGTCTAGTTCGTCATGTCGTTCGAGGTAAAAGTAAATTTCCCTAGTCGAAAACCCGGTACCTGAAGCACCACCGGATTGTTGGTGCTAATGTGTCAAAGAAGTCCCCCGTTGAGTGGAGCTGACGATGGCGTGTCTTGGTGTTGGCTTAGTTCAAGTTATATTTTATTTAGTTTTATGTTTACTTTACTTTAGTTTTAAAAACTTTAATTTGGTTTTAAGCTTTCAGTTTTAAAAATTCTTTAAATTTTTTCTTTAATAAAAATTAACTAGCTTCACAATGAAAAGTTTTGTTTTGATCTTCTTTTTTTTCTTTTCACGTAGACGATGGCCACGGGCTCCACCTTCTTCAGTAGACGCAGAAAATAAAAAAGGACCGACATTTTGGTCATTAGAGACCGAGAAACCTCGGTTGCCAATATGGTGCCCCTCCAATAAGTTTTCAGCAACTTAATTCTTTACATTTATTTTTTTCTATAATTGTTTTGTTTTTGTTTATTTTCTTCCTCTTCTTCCTAAAGAAAAATTCCCCTTGCTACTACTTAATTCATAAGAGGGTTCCAAGCCACCATCTGATGAAAGTCCGCTTTTTTCCCCAAAATGTTCATATGAATATGAAAGTCTTTAGTGCAAAATTTTAAGAATCTAGTACAATTAGTTTCCAAGATAAAAGATTTTTTGTATTTAACTCATATGGAAGGTGCCGCTCCCCCCATTGGTAGTCCGCCAATATATTACCCAGAGGCACTAAAGAAAGGTGCCACGCCTACTATAGCCATTTTGTCCAAAAATGTTCTTATGAATGTCACAGTTGTCCGTGCAAAATTTGAGGACTCTAATTGCACCAGTTTCCAAGATATACGACTTTAAATAGTTATTTAGTAGTAGGCGTGCCAACTCGCCCACTTGAAATTTCAAAATAAAAAGTAGCCTATTTTTCCTTCCAGGCATATAGCCGTTTAGGCGGCTATAGACTTCAACATACATACATACATACATACTTACATACATACATACATACATACATATACCTACATACATACATACTACTACTACATACATACATCATACTACATACATCATACATACATACTACATACATACATACATAACATACATACATACATACATACATACATACATACATACATACATACTACATACATACATACATACATACATACCTACATACATACATACATACATACATACATACATACATACATACATACATACAGACATACATACATACATACATACATACATACATACATACATACATACATACATACATACATCATACATACATACATACATACATACATACATACATACATACATACATACATAGACTACATACATACATACATACATCATACATACATACATAATACATACATACATACATACATACATACATACATACATACATACATACATACATACATACATACTACATACATACTATCATACATACATACAATACATACATACATACATACATACATACATACATACATACATACAATACATACATACATACATACATACATACATACATACATACATACATACATACATACATACATACATATATCATACTACATACTCATTACATACATACATACAGAGCATACATACATACATACACATACATACATACATACATACATACATACATACATACATACATACATACATACAGCACAGACATACAACAATATATACATACATACATACATACATACATACATACATACATACATACATACATACATACATACATACATACATACATACATACTACTACATACATACGTACATACATACATACATACATACATACATACATACATACATACATACTACATACATACATACATACATACATACTACATACATACATACATACATACATACATACATACCTACTACATACATACATACATACATACATACATACATACATACATACATACACATACATACATACATACATACATACATACATACATACATACCTACATACATACATACATACATCATACATACATACATACATACATACATACATACATACATACATACATACATCATACATACATACATACATACATACATACATACATACATACATACATACATACATACATACATACATACATATACATACATACATACATACATACATACATACATACATCATCATACATACATCATACATACATACATACATACTAGGGTGATCGACTCGATTTTTCAACCGGTTTTAAAACCGGTTTTTTCTGCTTTACCAGTGTCGGTTTTTTCTTAATGTTGATTTTTCAAATATCGAATAACCCGGTTTTTTCACTTTTAAAACCCGGTTTCGAATACTTTTATTTGCTTTGTATTCAAAGATTATTTAAATGAAATTTTTAAGTAAATAATAATACAGCCCGTCTAAATTTTAAAAATATTCGAGTCGAGGAACTAGAGTACATTTTCTACAGCTCTTTTGGTTAAACTTTTTTGATTTTTCTAATTAATTAAAAAGATTTATTTGTAAAATTGATAGCTGTTTGATAAAATTTAGCAATCTTAAGATTATATTCCAATTACAATAATTAATTTACGACTGAAATTTTATGGAAGAGTTGGAATGCCTATGCAAATTTCCTAAACAGGGCTTTTAAAATAAGCTAGGATTACATAGTACCTTATGTTTAACAGAAGTGTCCCACTTTTTTCCTAATTTTTTATATTAAAGAAAATAATGTAAATCAGACGACTAGATCTAAAGTTATAATCTTTTAAACTGTTAAAAATCATTTCGGGCCATGTTTTATTAATCAAATTTAAACATAGACATTAAGTTTTCAAATTAAAATATATTATTTTTAATTATAATGAAAAACGGGTAAACCGGTTTTTTCTGAATTTGAAAAATATCAACCGGTTTTTTTAA